GATATATGTATATATATATTTTTTTTTCTTTTCCATTTCTCCTTAAAACGTATGACTTTACGTGGGGTGGTCCATTTCTGCTGAAAATGTGACCATTTCCCGATCAATCGGTCCCATCGTTCACTGCTGATAAAAGTAAGTCAAACAATTCAAACAAAAAAATGACTCCTACAATTTCTTTCTATGACAAATTCTGAAATATTCTATCACCATTAATTAGGAAACTTCAAAAAACCAAACAAAACTACAAATATCACCAATGATACAAAAAACAAACGCCAATGAAAACCAAGCTGATATACTCTCAAGGATTCCTGAAAAAAAACAATAAAGGGATATTCATAAACATTTCGCTAACAAATCCAAATCGATCATGTACTCATGAATGTGCTAAAAAAAATTAACAAAAAACTAAATAAAAATTTCTAGGACTCTAATCTGATCAATTTTCCGATAATCCTCTCAATTTCTTTTCTTTTTCAGATATGTCACTACGAATAATTCAAACAAAAATATTATAAAGCAACTGCAACATCAAAAATCGGATCAAAATGTCTTGGTAGCTGTTCGCACTACTGAATAATGAATTTTATCAACTTATATATATTGAGTTTTTAATTCTATATATAAGTCAGAGATAAATTAATCTTTTTTGATTTTGAAAAATTTTTCCTTTTGAAATTTATTTCAAAATTTTCATTAGGGTTATTTGTCAACTGATGAGTCCCTTAAGCAAGGACGAACTCGATCTTGGTAGCTGTTCGCACCCACACCCGCACCCACACCCTCAAGAGCTCCACAGGGTTCCGTTATTGCAGCCACTCTTTTCCGGCTACATATCCACTGTTTGCCAGTGTACTTGAAAGGAGTCGAACTCCACTTATTTGCCGACGACCTCGCTCTCGTGATACCTGGATCTCTAGAAATGAAATTCTCTGATAATGTAAAGGGGATAGAAGAAAAAGCTGCAACAGTACTAAAGCAACTTGAGAAATTCTCGGATGATATAATATTACCAGTAAATGTATCTAAGACAAAAGTCATACTTGTACATAGCATAGTTTCTCCCTCCTATCCACGACTCTATTACAAAAACCAAATGATTGAATATGTTAAGAAGTTTCGATACCTAGGCGTATACATATCCGTGAAACAAGGCTGGGAACAATATGTAAATGAAAGGTTACGTACCATAAGGAAAGTATACAGCGCTATGAAAATCGTTTTTCGTACGATTAAGACGAAGAATATATTAATGCGTAGAAAAATTTTTCTAGCATATGCGCTGCCTCACTATATTTGGTTATTTAGTACTTGGTTCTTCTTCACAGAGAATCAAAAAGAAAAAATCGAACATGTTTTTTGTCATGGCCTTCGTATTGTACACAATCTGTATAGTTGGGACGACTATACTACTTTGGTTCACGTCCGGGACAAATCCCTACGAGATCATCTATTCACGTATTGGCGTCAGTTGCTAATACATCTACATACCTCTCAAGAAGCACTCTCCTTTCAACAGACATGAAACGCATATTTGATCATTACATCCCCCGATGATACCTGGTTAAAAACAATGAAACTTAGAAAGAATAGTAGATTCGCAAGAAGATTAAGGGAGATGGTGAGACATTGCCAAATTGGCTGGATATAATTTGATGAAATACACTCGAAATAATACGAACACTTCAGAAGATCAACGAATATGATAAAAATGTTTATATACAAATACTTTCTTCTACCTCCCTAAAAATGTTAAGTCTGTATTATAAGACTATGACGAAAAGATATCCATCAACATGTGTGAACAGATAATAAGTATGTAACTAAGATATGACGATCTGATACCACCATGAATCTGTGATTCCGACAAATGAATCAATAGTGGATGTTGCTTATATTTAGTAAAAAAAAACAAAAAAAAGTAAAATGTGTTCAATATCTATCAACTTTTTCCTATTCTCGATTTTATTAACTTAACAGATCTAAAACTTTCTTATTCTTCCTTACTTTTTCCCCTATAAAATGCTGTACCGATACACCATGTAAGAGATACTGGATAACAATAAACCATGAGAGAGCAATACACCTGATGCTTATTATTACTTTTTTTTTCTTAACTCTTGATATCTATCTCTACTTTTGTATCCAAACACCCTCACATTCCCCCTCTAACTGAACCCTATGTGAACCAGATTATATGGCACAAATAAATAGATATAAAAAAAATTGTGTCGGTGTGTTGACACGTGAGTACTTTACTTGTAACAGTTCATTTAAATAAAAGTCGAAGTTTCTATTCTCTCTCACCGGTGCCGTTAAAGCGAAAGAGAGAATTGAACGACGGAATATTCTTTTTTTTCTTTTTTGTTCTTCATCTTCATCTTTTTCCTGATTCTTTTTACTTCAAAGAATTTAAATAAAAACTCACTCAGTTGACAAAAAAACAATCACAGCTACTACTACTGTTAAGCAACGAGCGATGGCACAGAAGAAGAGACTGCAGCAGTTGAGTAAAGCATATCTTGGTATGGCACAAATGCTCGAGATATCCAAGGATGATGATTCAGATGAAACCAAACTTCTTACGGCTGCAGCTTTTAATAGTGTCACTGATAATTTTCGAGAATATACGAATAATCGAAATAAGTGTGAAGACGATGTTCCATTGACACTCACACGTATTGAGGCATCAAATGACTTCATAGTGGTCTGGTTGCATCATGGAGAACCACTCGAAAACGACATTCAACAAGATTCAGAAGTCAAGTTACGATGTGTTTTTGCGAATGTGCAAATCTTTACCGATATGAAAACATGCCTCGATTTCCTTGAGCACCTCGATCCCGATCATACTCACCTCATCTTTATTTCAAGTTGCTTTTACGATGGCAAGGTTTGCAGTTTTACTATTATCTTAATCTAATGTTTAATAGTACACGCATCATCTGTAAAAAATTATATTTGCCGTGAGTACTGAAATTGATCAAAAACCAATACAAGCTTTTTTATACTGTCTATATTTTCGTAACCGAATAATCGAAAAGCATGTTCTTTATTTTTAAAGATCTTTGAGGCAGGATTTCAATCCGTTCAAGTTTTATTTAGAACATAAGCGAAACACGTGGTTTTTCTTCATAGTTACTATTTTGATCAACACACAGAACAGAGAGAAACAATAGTCCAACTCAACTTGACTATATAAATTTATAACTACACAAAATCGGCGTGTTTCAGCCATTTTAAACTATTAATAATTACTCATGTAAGTTCAATGGATCATGATTCCGAGAAGAAAAGAACACTGCAACGAGTTTCAAGAACTCATTATAAGACTTTTTTTAAACCTTGATCCTGAGCGTGAAATAGCTAAAAATACTTTGCTGAAGAAATACTATCTATTCTGTTATGGCTAAATATAAAAAAGCTGTTAGCGCAATCCCTTTGGGATTAAAAGTGTGAAACACGATGAAACTTCTTTTCTGGAATTCGTCTATTACTGTCACTGGTGGTCTCTGGAGCTTCTCTATTACCGTCTGTATTATG